GTGCCTGTATTTGCGCCTGCATCTGCGCTATCAAATCTCTGGTGTGTTGTTCTTCCTTCATGCTCCTCGTGGTCACCATTTGGGTTTGCCGCTCGGCCCCACGGTGGGCGCCAAAATGTTTCGGTAGATATTTTTGGGACCGAGAGACTAACCTGCTGACGTGTCTGGGACGCTCGTTCGCTTCCAAACTCCTGCTATTGGCTGATCGGTGTTGGCACAAACCGATTGGTCTCCTTCTTGACGAGGGAGGATGTACCTGCAAAAAGTATTTCGACGCCCAAGTTAGGCGTGTGATTTGAAGAGCCTCGGCTCTTGGTTGAATATTTAGTGAATGATTATCACTATTGAGTATTTGAGAGTAACGTAGAGTAAATAATGCGTAAGTGTAACGTACCTGGCTTTTGGCCCTGGCTTTGTATTTATAATTTATCTCATGGATCCTAAGCTGATATAAGCCCAATAAAATATAAACAGAATAAGATATAAACAGATTACCTGAATATCCGGTTAGTTGTTTGTAACCACTCGGTTAATATTTTATATTGTACACAATATAATTTTAAGTACTTGTATCTTATTTTTTTTTTCTTTGCATATTTAATATATGTTTATATTATGTAAGTCAAATATATATAACAAAACTTAAAATAAACTTATCATAAAAACTCTACATATTTTCTGTAGTTTATTATATTTTTATAAAATAATTTATCCGTTGTGTCAAAATACAATATTAAATTATAAGATATCAAAATATAAAGATATGATAATTACTCTATCAAACATATAAAAAGTAATTTTTTATATCAAGTTGGAGATTCTTTACCGCCAATTTGATTAGAAAACTTTTATCAACTTTGTTACACGATACTTTTGTTTCCACTATTGAATATGTTATTAAAATCCAACATAGAATTACTTAAAATCAAAATCAACTATGTTAATTCTAAGACTTAATTTTCAACAGGGACGGAACATGCAATTAGGCAGTTACAAAAAGGTTATTGAAAGGGCCGACAACTTATTTTGAACTTGCAGACACAAGATGTTAACGTTAACATCATCAACTAATCTGAGTTTTTTGAATTTGAAGAATGACAGAATGGGTGGGAGAAGCACTTGGTACTACTGTGGATGTTGATTGGGTTGCAGTGAGCCCATCAGCCACCATGGTCGTTCCTTCTGCATGGCTCTCATTGTTTTTGCCCCACAAAAAGAAGTATAATCCCATTATGATCAAAACCATGCCACCCAACCTACACACAGATTTTGAATTACCAACTTTTCTACATTATATGATAATAGTAAGATTCATAGGATAACAAACATTAAAAAAGTTTAAGGAGAGAAATATGTTCATACGTTCCAACTCCCAATGGTTGTCCAAGAATGAGAGCTTCTGAAAAGGCCACAAAAATAAGAGACAGAGGATTGAACATTGGAGGATAAGTAGGTCCTTTCATTCTTATTGCCCAAGATATTATGCAGAATGTAGCAGCAGTAGCCAGTGCACCCTATATACATAACAATACTCTTTTAGGATTTTTAAATTAATCACTTCATTTTATTTGTACTCAAAATTTCACCAGTAGACTCAATTTTCTAACACTTCAAATTCACCCACCCCAACTTCAAACCCTATAATAGCACATTTCACAACTTTTTCAAGGCTGCTATTTTTTATTTCTTAATTATTATAATTTTATATTTTCATTTAATGGCGGGATAGAAAAAACAATAATTTAATGATTTAAATAGATATTATGAAAAACTTAGTTTTAAAACAAAAATGCTTAATTAGCTAGAAATGAAATTACACCCAAATATAAGTAATCACCCAAACGTTATCCCAACAAAGAAAAAAAATGTAAAGAGAAATTCTTTAATGTTTTAGAAATAGAAAAAAAAGAAGGAAAATCAAGCAATTCTTTTGTGACTGTTTGTTCCACTTGTGTAATTCTTTCTTGTAACTTTTTTCACTCAGCAATATTTCTCACCATATCTCATGACAATAGTTATTCATATATATTAAGTACTTTATATATAAGAAATGTTATAACTAGAATTCAATCAAATATATATATATATATATATATTTAAACAAAGAAATAATTATTTATTGAATATGAATTTTAGTAATTTTTTAAATGTAGGGAGATATGCAAAACATGTTACCGAGTAGACTATAGTGATGAGTTGTAGATTCCACTGTAATCTCCAAGCAGCTTTACTGGAATCTAAGCAAACACCAACTGCTGCTGCTTGAATTGCCGCCAGAATGCATGCTAGCATTGTTCCCCAGTACTTCAATGGAAATACTTTAAGCAACTTCACCTTTTTAAATTGAAAATATGTAGAATTTCATCAAGAACCGGAAGACCCAGACGGAGAAACCACTAAAGATTGTGAAAGTGGTGATAAAGTTAGAGACTTTACAACTATTACAGTACACGTGGGATGACTAAAATAGGTTTTCTTGAAGGGACTCACTTGTGCAATAAACCAGGCTGTGTAGGAGAAGCAGCTGCAGACCAAAAAGATAGTACCATGTAGCATGTGGGTTTTGTGTGGTGCAGTTTGATGAGTACGATGAAGGTGGTGTCCGAGAAAAAATTCCTTCCCTTTGTAAAGACTGCCAAGTGATGCTCCTCCAACACACAGAATTGACCCAACAGACTTAGCTTTACCAACCCATGTTTGCCACTTCAGTTTCTCCATTCTGCATTAATGCATGAAAGTTTTATTCATACTTACAAGTTGTTTATTTTTATAAAGCTAGTGTTTCCAAATACCTGAGTATGATAGAGGTAAAGAATGTGATTATAGGAACCAAGTTCAGAAAACTCATAGAGTAGGCAGCAGAAGTATCTCGCAGACCATAATAAAACAATCCTTGAGCCATTGTCATCCTGTAATTTACCTTGTTATGTTAGAAAACAATTTGAAGCAGAAAGAGTTAGTGGAGTTACTTACTATATATGTATCTTTCATAATAACAAGTAAATTTTAAATTATTAAAGATTCATCAAAATATTCTCAAGTATTAGTATATATTGAAATTTTGTAATTTAAAATTTTAATTAGTTGAGAGAAATCTAATATTACGTGACATTGGATTTATTAAAAATGTATAATTATAAATCTTATTTAGGAAAGTTATTTTTATAATCATTATTATCAAACACCTTTTGTATGCAGTTATGAGTGCAAACTAAATAACACTTAGAAATCTTATTTAGGAAAGTTATTTTGTCACTAATTAATTATAGACTAATTCATAAATTAATTTTCTTTAGCCAAAATCTTGATTGATAGTTAATTTTTAGTGATTAATGGAGAAACTAATTTGTTTGGTAGTTAAAAGATTGGTAGCTAAATTGAAAGACCAATTTAGTGATCAATTATAATTTTTATTTATAAGTAACTATTTTAATAATCAATAATCTTTAATTTTGTAAAATTAGTGTTAAAATTGATTATTATTTAGAGTTTTTTTAGTCTATGTGCTTTCCTTCGTTTTTCAATTCAAAATCAATTCCTTAAAACATAGTAAATAAAAAATATTAAAATTTTTAACTATTATCATTATGTTTTTTTTTTTTTTGTATGTCAAAATCAATTTGAGATGAAGGGAATAGTTTAAGAAAATACTAGAAATGGGTACTTGTAAAACATGATGGAAGAATGAAGACTAATTTTATATTAACATATTCTTTGTCAAACTAATTAATAAAACTTTTTATTCATTACTTTCTTAATGAATCGTTTAAAACACTGATTGGAACCTTTTGAGCATGCAATGATATGGCTGAACTGACTCGTTTATTCTTTGTTTATTTTGGTCTTTCTATCTAAATTAAAAACTACTATTTATGGCTTGTTCTTTATTGCTTGTTCACTAAGGAGTAAATTTGTTCAAAAGAGTAGGATGAACAATTTTGGAAGCAAACTCAAAGTAAGGTTATTTGTACAGTTTCACATTCAAATGCCTCACTTATTTTCTTTTTCAAGTAAGGTTATTTTCTTTATGCCACCTACTTTCTCTTCACCCAAGCCAATATACTGTCTTAAAAACTTAATCTAAATTATAACACACTAATTTATATTTAAAACTAGGTGATATTAATTTAAAAGTCATATTAGTCATTATTATTACTATCAACTTTGACATATAAATTATATAGTTTATATTCAACAATGGTATTAATTACTCAGAAAATAAACTATGCATCCATAAGTCTAATAATTATTATATGAAAGGTGAAAGTAATGGAAGACCAGAAAAACCCAGAACTTCTGCAAGAATTACTTTCTCTTCAATATATAATTATGAAACTTTGACGTCTGTCTGACAGTAGTTAATGTTGCTTGAAATAGATAATGTTTATCTTGATGTGTCTTTTTTTCATGTGTTTTTCTATTTGGAAACCGCTTTCAAAGGCTATCTTAAGGAAGATGATGGACCAATTCCAATACAGTTCAACATATGTGCCCAAACTTAATCTCCATATACGAAGATTTCGTTATTTTCCAAAAAGGAGAATTAAAAATAAGCAAAATAATATTAATGACTCGTTATATGTAAATCTGTTAATATATGTACAGTTTTTGTGTTGCTGATAGAAAATTTAATTAATGAATGTTATAAAAATTATGGTTAACAAATTATTATTTTTTTCAAAAAATAGTTAATGCCAAAACTTTAAGGTTTGAATTTTATAAAATATGTTATCTGATATGAAATTAAAGATTCTTTTTAATCTTAAATATCTCCTATCTAGATTTAGAGTCTAAAATGGGACTCTATATTTTCATAATGTTAAAAATTGTTTTTTTATAAATTAAATTGTAAATAAAAAGTTATTAAAAAGGGAATGTTATAATATATTCACTAGTGCAGAATGGGCTATAGACGTTTGTTCTGTGGGTCTTTTGACGTCCGACCTCCAACGGACGTCTATGCGGATGACGTCTGAGTAGTCGTCCGTTGTGTCAGGCCGGATGTTTATATAAACGTCCGTTGTGTCAGGCCGGACGTCTGTATAAACGTCCGCTATGTCAGGTCGGACGTTTATATAGTCGTCCGTTGTGTCAGGCCGGACGTCTATATAGACGTCCATATAGACGTTCGTCGTCTCGACCCTCGACATCTACTTGGCTGTATTGTTAGTGGTAGGGGCTGGGGGTTGGACGTCCGTTTGTGCACTGCCGGAACGGCCTAAGAATGTAGCCCAAAACAGTCAAAGGGAGGGAAATCGAGGAGGGAACGGCATAAAACGTAGCCCAGTCAAAGAATCCGCCCAAGAACACGGAAGACACTGCAAAAAAAGTACTGAAAACGATTTTTAATCGGTTCAAATCAAAGGTATTTCATCACAGAGCAATGTAATCGGATTGAAAGTTAATTTAAACGGTCCAAAAAAGAGAAAACGCACCTAGAAAATCAATGGAGCAGACAGCGTTCGCGGGGGGAAGATGAGCTTAACTGCTCGCGGGTTCGCGTTTACAATATTAATACTGTTATAGACGTCTGCGCCCTCCCAGGACCGACGTTCAAGTGGCTGACATGGGGAGTTGAAACGTTCAGTGTTCAGCCTAGTGAACGTCCGCCCCCCTCCCACGGACGTCTATAATATGATAAACGTCCGCGTCCTCCCAGGACGGACGTTCAAGTGGCTGACACATGGGGAGTTGAAACGTTCAGTGTTCAGCCTAGTGAACGTCCGCCCCCCTCCCACGGACGTCTATAATATTATAAACGTCCGCGTCCTCCCAGGACGGACGGTCAAGTGGCTGACACATGGGGAGTTGAAACGTTCAGTGTTCAGCCCAGTGAACGTCCGTCCCCCTCCCACGGACCTCTATAATATTATAAACGTCTGCGCCCTCCTAGGACGGATGTTCAAGTGGCTGACACATGGGGAGTTGAAACGTTCAGTGTTCAGCCCAGTGAACGTCCGTCCCCCTCCCACGGACCTCTATAACATTATAAATGTCTGCGCCCTCCCAGGACGGACGTTCAAGTGGCTCACACATGGGGAGTTGAAACGTTCAGTGTTCAGCCTAGTGAACGTCCGCCCCCCTCCCACGGACGTCTATAATATTATAAACGTCCGCGCCCTCCCAGGACGGACGTTCAAGTGGCTGACACATGGGGAGTTGAAACGTTCAGTGTTCAGCCTAGTGAACGTCCGCCCCCTTCCCACGGACGTCTATAATATTATAAACGTCCGCGCCCTCCCAGGACGGACGTTCAAGTGGCTGACACATGGGGAGTTGAAACGTTCAGTGTTCAGCCTAGTGAACGTCCGCCCCCCTCCCACGGACGTCTATAATAATATAAACGTCCGCGCCCTCCCAGGACGGACGTTCAAGTGGCTGACACATGGGGAGTTGAAACGTTCAGTGTTCAGCCTAGTGAACGTCCGCCCCCCTCCCACGGACGTCTATAATAATATAAACGTCCGCGCCCTCCCAGGACGGACGTTCAAGTGGCTGACACATGGGGAGTTGAAACGTTCAGTGTTCAGCCTAGTGAACGTCCGCCCCCCTCCCACGGACGTCTATAATAATATAAACGTCCGCGCCCTCCCAGGACGGACGTTCAAGTGGCTGACACATGGGGAGTTGAAACGTTCAGTGTTCAGCCTAGTGAACGTCCGCCCCCCTCCCACGGACGTCTATAATAATATAAACGTCCGCGCCCTCCCAGGACGGACGTTCAAGTGGCTGACACATGGGGAGTTGAAACGTTCAGTGTTCAGCCTAGTGAACGTCCGCCCCCCTCCCACGGACGTCTATAATAATATAAACGTCCGCGCCCTCCCAGGACGGACGTTCAAGTGGCTGACACATGGGGAGTTGAAACGTTCAGTGTTCAGCCTAGTGAACGTCCGCCCCCCTCCCACGGACGTCTATAATAATATAAACGTCCGCGCCCTCCCAGGACGGACGTTCAAGTGGCTGACACATGGGGAGTTGAAACGTTCAGTGTTCAGCCCAGTGAACGTCCGCCCCCCTCCCACGAACGTGTATAATATTATAAACGTCCGCGCCCTCCCAGGACGGACGTTCAAGTGGCTGGCACATGGGGAGTTGAAACGTTCAGTGTTCAGCCAACTAGACGTCCGTCCCCCCAGACGGACGTTCATAATATTATAAACGTCCGTCTCGCTCCAAGACGGACGTTCTAAGGGCTAACCATGGGGACTGAAACGTTCACTTGTTCAGCCTACTAGACGTCCGTCTCCCCCAGACGGACGTTCATAATATTATAAACGTCCGTCTCGCCCCAGGACGAACGTTATAAGGGCTGACCATGGGGATTGAAACGTTCACTTGTTCAGCCTACTAGACGTCCGTCCCCCCCAAACGGACGTTCATAATATTATAAACGTCCGTCTCGCCCCAGGACAGACGTTCTAAGGGCTGACCATGGTACTGAAACGTTCACTTGTTCAGCCTACTAGACGTCCGTCCCCCAGACGGACGTTCATAATATTATAAACGTCCGTCTCGCTCCAAGACGGACGTTTTAAGGGCTAACCATGGGGACTGAAACGATCACTTGTTCAGCTTACTAAACGTTCGTCCCCCCCCAAACGGACGTTCATAATATTATAAACGTCCGTCTCGCCCCAGGACGGAGGTTCTAAGGGCTGACCATGGGACTGAAACGTTCACTTGTTCAGCCAACTAGACGTCCGTCCCTCCAGACGGACGTTCATAATATTATAAACGTCCGTCTCGCTCCAGGACGAACGTTCTAAGGGCTGATCATAGGGACTGAAACGTTCACTTGTTCAGCCTACTAGACGTCCGTCCCCCCAGACGGACGTTCATAATATTATAAACGTCCGTCTCGCCATAGGACGGACGTTTAAGGGCTGACATGCGGAGCCTAGTAGACGTTCGTTCCCCTCCCACGGACGTCTCGAGTTTTACTTATTTACGAATATGCCACCGGTCAATTATATACGTTGGGGCTTTTTTGGACGGACGTCTATGGGGGACGTTAAAAGCCAATTCTGCACTAGTGATTGGAGGACGTCTATGGGGGATGTTAAAAGCCAATTCTGCACTAGTGATTGGAGTGAAAATTAATAGTATAATCTTTATAGTATAATATTGGAGATGAGGTCTATGAAATGTGAAAAACAGGATGTTCTGTAATTTTTCAATGTATTCTTGTATGATTGTTTTCTTATGAAAACTCTTTTTGTTTCTTTCTTTATTTCAATATCTTTACTAATATTTGAATACGAGAATAAGACTTTTTATTTGTGATAGAAGGATGACGTGAAACATTCTATGGTGAGAACATATTATCATTCAAAGCAGTAAAGAACATACCCTGTCAGTGCATTGACGAAGAGCCAACACCAGACCTCACAGTTTAATTTCTTAGGTTGTCCTCTGCAACCCCAATGGTTTGAGAATATTAAAACTAAAAAGATCAAACATATAGTAATCGAAGAATCAAACAATGAATGAAAACACTCCGACATGAAAAAGTAGCATGTTTTGAGAAAACTGTTGAATTTTCATGAGTCTTCATAAAATGTAAAGAAGAATTACGAGAAAAAGAAGTTGAGAAAGAAGAATACCTTTCAAAGTAGAGTGCAAAGGGAGCAACACAAAGAGCAGCAACAAGGTGACGATAAACAATAAGTGCAGCAATGAAAGTTCCTTGAACCAATATGACCCTTGACAACAACTGCATCCCAGTCATAAGAACTTGCACCAGAATCATGCTCAAGACAACCTGGGATGAAGTGAACCATTCCTTCACAGTTTTCATGGTCTTTGCCTCCATTGTGTGTAAGGAGAAGAAAATAAACAAAGCAAAAGTCTGTGTCTTTGTCTCTTAGCAGAAGAGGGACAAAAGCTTTAATATGCATGAAAGAAACAGCTTGTGTAGATATGATAAGTCCAAGTGCATAAATAAATGATAGACAGTTTATGTTTGAAAGTTCTAAAAGGAATATTGTGACAGATGCCATGCATTAACGCAAAATTCTCTTGCTGTCAAACTCTCTGTCACCTTGCCACTGCTTTCTCCAATTTTCTCACCGTTACTTGTTATGCTGTAACCCATACGTAATATAGTAATATCAACAGCAATACGTGTCTTTCTTGTAGTTGTTCTTCGACATTGATGTTGCTGCCAGTTAAGCTTGCTTCTTTTGCTGATATATCCAATTTAAATTGTAACATAACTTTGCTTTTACATGTTTTTATCATTTAGTAGTATATGGTATGAATGCAAGAATGCTTTCTTTTTTCTTTTTTTCAAATTAACCTCTCGGATATACCTCTTTATATAAATAAACAAATCAGTCTATAACTTTTCAAATTGAACAAAATTCTGAAATTATATATATATATATATATATATTGATGATTCTAACTATTTTCTTGTTTGTGTGAAAATGGTTTTCCCTGCTGTTAGACGTTGCTGGGTTGCTGTAATCAGTTTTACATGAAAATGAATATATGAGAATGCGGTCAAAAGTTTATCTGAGTTGAGATGAAAAGGGTTCAACATATATTAAAATTCAAACATGTATGTCTGATTCAACCTCGTTTTAAATAGGATCTAGCTTGTTCCAACTGAAGAAAAAAAACATGGGAGTTACGTGGAGTGTTGTTCTACAGTTTCACCATTATTTGAGCAGAGAGAATGTTTAAAAATGAAGAAAGCATGAAGTTGAAGAAAGACTATAAAGGCAGCAAGTGTTGGAACAAAAGATATAGAGCAAAAGAGTTGGTTACGCAACACATTTAAATAATTAATTGGACTTTTCCTTTTTCTTATATTGAGGATTAGCATGATTTGGTGGTAGAGAATGAAATGATTTTAGGTGTTACATAGGAAAGAGCTAATGGAGTCTATGATTGAGTTGAGGATTGAGAATTTTTCTATATATACATATACCTAAGAGTTGCAGCGTTGCCTCACGGATCGGTTAAAAGCAGAATCAAGCTTCATTTCTGAAAAGATCTTATTATAGGACCTAACACAATAATTTTAAAGTTAAGCAGATTTTTATGAAATCGGACAATGATTATTTTCTAAATTAGTCTTGCTTTTTCTAGTCATTCAATGAGATTCTTTACATGCATTGAAACAATAATAGTTCAGGAAAATGTTGATGATAATGACACATAGATGAAAATAGTACACAACTTAAAAATAAAATTTTAGAAGGGGTCTTCTTAGTAAATTTAGGAGTGTGATTTCCTTCCTTCATCACTCTCATTCTTTTAGAATGTGACAACTTCAATAATGTGTCACTACACAAACATAAGTTTTAGATTTTATTTAAGACAAAACTAAACCAAATAAAAGAAAGGATATAAAAGAGAGGATGTGAATAAACTTTCTTTTTAAACATTTTTATTTTTTCTAAGCACTTTCTTCCATATATATTGTCTAAATTATTACATTGAATCAACCTCATTAGTAGCTTTTTATACTTGCAATTAAATTTCATATATAACTAAATTTGAATCTATTGGTGTTCTTATTCATAATCTGAATTAGGAAATAAATATAAATAACCAATAAATGCAAATCTCTTAAAAAACTTTTACTTGGAATTCTATTTTACTAGTTGTACACTTGTCAAAAAGATAACAATCATCAAAACTAGCATCCCACAAGACTCATCAATTTCAATTTGAGGACCTTGACTCTAAATTAATTTATCTAAAAAACCTCAAGAGATAAGTCTCATCTAACCTCTACACCATCCAATTCCACCAATTCCAAGACATTGCTAGGATCAAACATATACTTCCATGAGACACACATGAAACATTTGTGACGGTTTTTCATTACATTTTTTAAAATATTTTGTCTTTGGTTTCTTCTCTGTTTTAATAATTTAAAAATAAAAATTTCCTTGTTAATTATTATAGTTACAAAAGATAATTAGTGAAATAATAATATTCAACATGATTTTAAAATTTAATTATTATTTTATACTTTTTTTTCATTTAAATTAACTAAAAATTATTTTGGTCATTAACAATATTATTCAATTATCAATTTTTTAACATGTTACATAAAAATCTCACAAAAATAAAAATGAATCCGATAATGAGCACAAACACCTTATGCTTATAAAAACTTCGTTGAAAAAAAGCCCCATTATGTTAGTCAAGCCCAAGACGACCAATTAGTACATCAGTCCACTCACCTCACCTCATAATCAACAATATTTATCGTAATTCCAGCTATATAAATATTTCAAAACCTAACTTACATATCGATGTGGAACCTGTTTTCAATAACACGAGTGCGTTCCACTCCCCAAATCTCAAAACGTCAGGTGTTGGAAATATGACAACTAGAACTCAATTTGCGGTGGATCTTTTAATGTATACATATACCTTACTACGCCTCTGAATTTTTAGACTCCCCGAGAGAAGCAGCTACTTTTTCTGCAAATTGAAGATTAATGAGGACACACAAATTATTAATGAGGAAAAACCTTCTTAAGGATCCGATATACTCTCAAAAAAACCTATGACAATTAATCTAAGACACTCCTCTGAAGTGCCTCAGCAATGAATTTCTCTTTAGACAATCAATGAACTCCTCCCATTAGCTGCACAATCAAAGTTAATCTCCAATTAGCACCAAATCAACATTAAAGACACTTTCATTTCAGAACATTACTTTCAAATTCTACCTATTTACAATCTAAAATCTACACTATCAAAACTACTAATAAAAGGAATGTTATGTAACTACTTTTATGATAACTAATAGAATCTATCTATCTATCTATGACCTTAGCACTAAAATATCATAAAAGACACTATTCTAACTCATTCATAAAAATTAGTACTTCTCTACTATAAACTAAATATGATTTAAAAACTGAGTTTCTAGTCTAAAAACCCCTAAAAACATGCAAATGCTTTGGAAAAAATGTAACATTCTGAATGTTATCACACCCCCACACTTGAATCATTTGCATTCCTGGGCAAAACTACGACCAGACACTAATAACCAAAGAGCATTTTCACATCAAAACTCACTCACTACAACAATTCCTAATATGCACATATGCAAAGCAAACAGTGAAACAACAGTAAAAGTTGCAAGGCTTTAAGTCTAAAAATAGTGAAACAGTGAAAACAACAGTGGTCAAGATGTGTGAACTCAAGTATGGTTTAGCATTTGGCACAACACTTTCATCAACCAATTTTACTTTCCTTTCAGCTTTTCACTTTCATTTTTTTCATACACTTTCTGATTCTTTTCATTTTTTTTTCAACTTCCAGCATTTATTTCTTTATCTCTTGCTTTTGTTTGCTGTTACAGCTTTAGCTCATCATATTTCCACTCTGAAACACCTTGGCACCCCCACACTTGAGCCACACCCTTACTTAAATTGGCTCACTCAGTAGTTATAATCAAAAGATGGCCTAAATCATGTTCAAAGTGTGTTCAAGCAATTAGCATCAAAAAGAGTATCCACAAGTTCTAGAGTGCAGAAATACACAAGTGAATCACACAATTTAACAATTAAGGCTCAAATCTCTCTAGGTGCAGAATGTGTGGTGCACAAAGTGTCTAAGCATGTTAACAGCCTAATCATCAATGAAAGAAATGCACATACCAGCTACAAATATTTATACTCAAACCATACATACACATCACAAAATTGACCATAATGAGTGAGTGAAAATGTAAAATCTGTAAAAGATACCTAAAAATATCTACACAAGTTCTATTGGACTAGAAATGACCAAGGATTGACTCAAAAATTGATTTCTAAGACAACTTCTAAAAACCAATACTCAAACCTCCAAAGCTCTACTAAAATTGTCACTAGAATGGTAACAATTTGCAAACTGCACTAAACTAGCCTAAGAAACTATCCTAACAAGTTTAGAGCGCTAAAACCTAGCTAAGAAAAAGCTCACACTACAAAAACTACCTAAAACTCAAAATATGACAATCTAGAACCTAAAACTAGTACCTAAAATAGGCTAAAAGTGCTAAGAATGAAAACTGTATTAAACTATTAATTGAAACTGTAAAATAACTATCTAGACAACTTTTAAAAGATAAAAGAAAGATAAAAACCAAGTCAATTCAAAAATAACAAGAAAAGCAAAATTTGACTATTGAGCACCTAAAAATGCATTAGAATAGGCTAAAACTGGAAAATCTTAAAACTGCACTAATCTAATTATTGGGACTACTAAACCACTATCTAGACAACTTTTGAATGTTAAAAGAAAGATATAAAATCAAGTCAAATTTCGAAATTAACAAGAAAACTAAAATCTGAATAGTTAGAACCTAAAACAGTATATACTAGAGTTAACTAAAAATTTAAATCTGCACTAGATCAGAACATAATGTAAAAAGACTATTTAAACAAGTTTGTAATGAATAAAAGAAATTAAAAACAAGGTCATTTAGTTAGAATAGCTAGACTTTCAAAATTTGATTATAAAGACCTAGAATCAGCGCTCAAAGCACTAAAAGTCCTCACATCAGTAACTACGAATCAAACCTGCAACTAATATCTACTTCTATATCCAATAAAATGCAAAGTATCTACCTAAGCACATCAAAAACAGTAAAAGAAAGATAATGGAAGAGTTGAATTCTACAAAAAAAAACACTTCAATACATAATATCAGCATAATATCAAAATTATCTTTCAAAAAAAAAGATATCCTAATTGACACTACTCATACAAGTTTAAAGCAGAAAAAGAGAATTAAAATCAGAGCTACAGATTAAAATTAACAAAGAAAAGAAAAAATGCATATGAAAATCAATCTATACGAAAAATCAGTAACAGGACAAATAACAGAAATTGTTAAAACTACTTCTACATTTAACTCTACTCTATGATTTATAAAATGCAATATTTATATCTAAGCAAGTTCAAATCAATTAAAGAAAGCTAAGAAAAAGGTCAAATTCAAAAAACAACAGCTAACTAAAATTTCTACCACTTAAACCTATGACAGCTTAATATAACAGAACAGATTTAAAGCTGAAACCGAAAACAGTGAATTAAAATCCTATTTAACTATTCCTACATGCTAAAAGTAACAATAACAACTACTAAGTGAAATTAATTACTAGAATTTAAAACTACTACAATACTACCTTCAAGCTAAACTGAATAACTAGTAAAGTAAAGCTGAAAATTAAAACTAGGTAAGGAATATAGAACCAGCATGGCTTTATGTAATTCTAATAGGTACCGGCAAAATAGAAATTCAAGACTAAGTCAGAACTATAAATCAAAACTAAAAAATGGAACTAGTTAACTAATTGTTAGTGTAGACTGGACAGCAGAAGGGAATCTGGTTAGTAAGGTTAGTCAAAGTCAGCCGGAGACAGAAAAACAAATTACCTGACGAGTTTTGTCTTTAGCAAGTTCATACATAGCCCATTCTGTTGTCACCAATGTAGTATCAGATATCTCAACAATTGTCTCCCAGAGTAGCATGGAAATTTCATTTTCACTCAGTTCTTTAGCTTTGGATACTAGGTAGTCAAAAAAACAATTCAGTACCTATCACATTCCAAACAATCAAATTATTAGGATAAATTTATCATAAGCTTTGAACACATTTCACGTTGTCCTCAAGATAAACCTACCTTTCCTGAATCCACTCTCTTCTTGTGCTCATTCATCAAGGCCCTCATGACAACTTCTCTCCGGAAGTACAAATTCCAAAATTTCTTCTCCACGCTCCTATTAGGAATCCATCTCAAGTATGGAAAGAAATCTCGCCAATCCACCTCAATGGCTCCCTCCATCATATCGAGCACTAGAATCCTATATAAGTCCTCTCTTGATAATGTAACCCCAAGCTCCTCCACATAAACGGAGTCTACATTACTTCCCAGAGCCTGCAAATTTTCCATGCACAGTTTTGTTAGGATAAACTTAAATGCAATAGAATTAAATTGGTTGTTTATTTGTTTAGGGGTTTTGTGTGTTTTGGAGTGCAAGGGTCACCAATTAATGTAGTGGTTATTAGATAAGAATAGGTAATAATTGTTTTGACGGTAGAGTTTATGGTTTGGAGACAAAAAAAACCATGATGTAATTCTATAAATTGAAAGTGTCTAGTTCACACAACGTAACAAAACAAGTAGCAATACAAGGAAGTGAAAAGTTTTTCACATAAAGGTTTAGTTTTGCTAACAAGTTTTAATGTTCTACTCTAAAAAAAAAAATCTATTCAATCTTTATTTAAGGAGATACTTACTTGCTTCAGTGCTAGTATAGAAAGTTCAGATGCGTATATAATTCTAAAATTAACTACCAAATCAGAGAAGGTCTTCACATGTTCACTAAACTAGCTCAAAATATTTTCCACCAAGTTTTCTCTGTTGAGACAGACGGTGCCGCTTCTGAACATTGAAAACTAGACACTAAGCAACCAAACCGCACACAAAAAAAGGGGAGTTCTATGATACTGATAAAAAAACATGAATTTCTCGTAACCAACCAACCTGTGCAGCGGCTCCCAAAACGTTGGCAGAATATGTTTTTTGACCGCTTTGTCAAACTCATTGTAGTCGCTTGTGGAAACCATACATTTATCAGAAGTCAGAATCGTCACATTTGAGAGAGTCACATACAAAATTTTCAAATAAAAGGAATGAACTTCAATGTTTATTTACTATTGATGAATATGACAGTGTGATGTGATTGGTTTGAGGTGAGTCAATGGTTCTTCTAGACACACACATTGCTTTGCGGCTCACAATCAATCAAATCATAATTCATTCAACTTGGCCATGATGATAGTTATATTAGAATTATTAATTCCCTCGATTCAACTGTAACAAAAACAACCGTGGTAATCCATACCTGAAAATATACTCTGCTAGATATAGTAAATAAGAAACCACCTTTATTTCAATAAACATTTAATGGAAAATACTCTAGTACATCTTTATGACCGGAACAAAACAAAACAAAACACAACACAAAACAGCAAACACAATAAAGAGTCTTTTTTCCATTGGTTTATTCTTCAGGTTCCCTTCAGAAGGCCGCAATAGCAAATGTAACTACTTGATGTATTGATTTCTTGGCCTGAGTTTCACCAGAAGGGGATGGAGTCTGTGAGTTGTAAGGCCCAATGTATCCACATTCTCCTCCTCCCCTTGTCCCAGCTCCCACTCAAATTGTTGAACAAATCTCCCAATTGCTGTGCAGGATATCAACGAGGCCTGAAGAGACCCTGCACACACCCTCTTCCCAGCTCCAAAGGCCATGGTCTTGTATAAATCCAAGGGATCATATTTTTCATCAACAAATCTCTCAGGTATCCATTCATGAGGATTTTCCCACTTGTTGCTGTCCATGTTGCATCCATATATATTTATTGCAATCTGTTAACACATGAGCCTGTCAATAATGGCAATCATATATACACACAGAGAAGAACAAGGATGGTGAATTCAGAAAATTAATAAATAGACCTGGCTTCCAGCAGGAATATGATATCCTCCCAATTCTGTATCTTCATGAGCATATCTTATTGGCACGATTGGAGCTGGACTATACTTCCTTAATGTTTCATGGAATACAGCTCCCAAGTAAGGTAGCTTAGATAATTGCTCCTCTGTAACCTTTTCTTCTCCACATACATTTTGCAGCTCCGCATATAAACGTGCCTGCCATAACATAAACACACGCTACCATTACAGTTGTACCAATCAATACATGGTTAGCCAGCCAGAGACAGAAAAACAAATTACCTGACGAGTTTTGTCTTTAGCAAGTTCATACATAGCCCATTCTGTTGTCACCAATGTAGTATCAGATGTTTCAATAATTGTCTCCCAGAGTAGCATGGAAATTTCATGTTCACTCAGTTCTTTAGCTTCGGATACTAGGTAGTCAAAAAAACAATTCAGTACCTGTCACATTCCAAACAATCAAATTATTAGGATAACTCTATCATAAACTTTGAACACATTTCACGTTGTCCTCAAGATAAACCTACCTTTCCTGAATCCATTCTCTTCTTCTGCTCATTCATCAAGGCCTTCATGACAACCTCTCTCCGGAAATGCAAATTCTGAATTTTGTTCTCCACACTGCTATTAGGAATCCACCTCAAGTATGGAAAGAAATCTCGCCAATCCACCTCAATGGCTCCCTCCATCATATCAAGCACTAGAATCCTATATAAGTCCTCTCTTGATAATGTAGCGCTAAACTCCTCCACATAAACGGACTCTATATTACTTCCCAGAGCCTGCAAATTTTCCATGCACAGTTTTAATGTTCAACTCTCAGAAAAAAATGTCTATTTAATCCTTATTTATGAAGGAGATACTTACTTGCTTCAGTGCTAATATAAAAAGTTCAGATGCGAATATATTTCTAAAATTAACTGGCAAATCAGAGGAGGTCTTCACATGTTCACCAAACTGGCTCAAAATATTTTCCACCAAGTTTTCTCTGTTGAGACGGTGCCGCTTCTGAACATTGAAAAATAGACACTCAGCAACCAAACCACGCAGACAAAAAAAGAGAGTTGTATTTACTCAAATACTGAGAAAAAACCATGAATTTATCGTAACCAACCAACCTGTGCAGCGGCTCCCAAAACGTTTCCAAGAATATGTTTCTTGACTGTTTTGTGAAATTCATTGTAGTCGCTTGTGGCAACCATACGTTTATCAGAAGTCAGAATCGTCAGTGCTTTTGATAGCTTCCTTGTTGAAATCGACGAAAACCTGGTCACCATGGCCTGAAACAACCATAACATTTTACAATCTAATTAGCCGTAAACAAGAATAAACACATGGATTGTAGTAGTTACAAACGGTTCAAGACATGCCAACCAAAGTTACTTCAGTGGATCGACAATAAAACCAGTCATCGCCTTTAGAACTGTTTGTGATTGTATTCTTCCAACCCTCGATAAAGGGATCGGTATAAATTCATCTAAAATAGCAATATGGAAAAATAAATCATTTTGAAAGACACAGACAGTGCTAAAACGGTAAGTTTGTGAACTTGTCACATCCACTGCACAGGGAGGTGAATAGCAGAATCAGCTGATAAGGGTGTTGTAATTTGCAGATAAAAGGGTCCAAGACAAGATGACTTAATAGGGTATAGATTTAATTGAAGAAGAATGCATGCATGAAGTGAGAAGAGCTTAAATGAAAAAGAGGACCTCCTTGGCAAGATTGGTGGAGTTGAGAACAATGATACTGGAAGAACCGGTTCTGATGGAATAGATGGGTCCATGTTTTTGAGCCATCTGTGCGAATGTCTTGTAAGGTTTCTTCTCCTTCAACTGCAGTAGATTCCCTACGATGGGCAGTCCAGGAACAGCTGCAACATTCACCAGGTTCATATGCCATTCTTATTTTCATTCATATGAAACACAGAATAAAATAGAATTAAAAGTAAAGATGATACCTGGTACTTTGGGAAGTCCTGCATGTCTGCGAGTGAATCCTGGTATGAGGCGGAGCAGCAGGAAGAGAAATAGAAGAGATGAAGCAGCCACAGCAAGTAAAGCTGCAAAGGAATCTGTCTGAAGAAGGTTCAAAAGGGAGATGGAGCCCATGGTAGAAGAAGCAGCACAAGTACACTGTTCTCTGTTTTCTTTGTTAGTGGAGTCCTTATGACAACCATGGATGAATCCTTTTTATGGAGAAGGAGATGAGTCAAAATCTTGGAATTTGGAAGCTATGTCAGAAGCACCTTTCCCTTTCAGATTCCTGCCCTATCACATCACCTTCAGCATCAATTACAACAGGACAAAACCAAATGCACTAGTATACACATTTTCTGTCCCACCGATAATGTTACATAATTCATGTCAAATTCAAGCACCTCTTCTGAACTCAAGTATAGATAAAAAAAGTAATTATTTCTATTTGAAAGTGTTCTTTTTTATGGATTGAAACAAATATTTATAAATTGTTTGATTTTAATTTAAACACAAACCTAAAATCACTTATTTTCTCTTGTTTAATCGAAAAAAAAATGTAATTGATAAAATAAAAACCTTAATTCTCCAGCTAATGAATTATTTATATAATCAATACATTATCATGTTGTATGAGCCAACCTTTATTCAACCAATATAGACTAAAAGGAACGTAACACTATAATATTATTCACACTATATATTCTTCTTATACATTATAATAAAATTTACTAAAATAACAATATTATATTACACATTAATATTATTTTGTAAATATGTTCATTATCGTACACTATTCTAAAAATCCAAGAGTCTACTTATTAATTAAAAATAAATATCTTTCTCTTAATAAAAGTAGCCATGATTTAAGCAAATTATTAACTTTGTGATAGTTTATCATCATCCTAATTCAATAGTGGTTTAATTTAATGCTTCTTTGATTTAGTACTTGATAGCATTATTTGGAAAACAAATTTAACACAATCCAAGATGAATAACCAAAGAAGTCCAACGTCAACAGATCATTAATAATAATAATAATAATAAATTATAAAAGATTTTGGAATCTTTCTTTTTTATTAGTAAATTATAAGTTATAAAAATATATAAGAAAAAGCATTTCTTTGTCAAGTCATAATCTATTTATAATTAATTATTTGATTAGTTAATTAAGATAACGTATTCGTTAATTACAACAGGACAGAACAAAATGCAGTGGTCTGAACTTGTTTTGTTGGTGCAGCGAGTCAGGGAATTGGATTGGATGGATTATTGGTGCCTTCACGGATGTTAAAAAAATGTATTTTTTATATGCTAATTATGCTGAGCATGCACACTCAAATCGATAAGCTTGTAAAGTAACGAAAGATATTTTGTAAGTAGGTGGTAAAGTTATTACAATTACAAGAAAAGATAATAAATAAAAACACTTCCACTCCAAGAACAATCACAACGTTTTGAGTGTTTCATCCTACACCTCCAAGATCTCATCCTGCACCTCCAAAAATTCCACTTTTAACCTTCTGACATCTCATCATCATCCTGCACCTCCAACTTTTTCAAAACTTTATTTTTAACTCTAATAAATATTTTTCCATTTTCTTTTCTTTTTTATTAAAAAAATCTTCACTACCTTAATAATAATTTAATTTAATTTATTTTAAAATTTAAATATTATTTAAAATAATTTTTTATTTTAATAATTATTAAAATATAATTTATATTATAATAATAATTATATTAAAAACATAAAAATAAATTAATAAAAATAATAATAATAATAATAATAATAAATAATAGTAAAAATAAATTTGATTTAACATATTCAAATATATTAAATTATAATAAAATATTAAAATAAATTAAATAATTATTAAATTTTAAATAAAAATGAAAATTTTAAAAAGCTTATTTATATATTAAAATCTATAAAATATGTTAATACTTTTCTTTTTATTTAAAATTTAATAAATATTAAACTTAAATAAAAATTATAATATGTACTTATTATATTTTTATATTTTA